CTCCCCCCTCTCATGTGCTCTCTCTTTCATTCTCTCTCTCTCAAATAAATAAAATCTTTTAAAAAAAAAAAGTTACTGATTTCCACTTTCCATACTCTATCTGTTGGAAGCAAGTCACTAAATCCAGCCCCTACTCAAAGGGAGGAGAATTAAGCTCCATTTCCTGGAGGGGGGGATTATCTACATAGATTATTTAGAATTCTTCTGTAAGTAAGATTTGTCCTTTTTCCCCATATATTTATTTATCCAAGCATTTATTTATATCAGTATGCACTCATAGATATTTATTTTATTTCCTGAGTTATAATCCAATACTATAGTTATTTATTTGGTTGTTCAAATTGTTCCAGCTTTGGCCATTAAAGTTCTTTCAGTTTGGCTCCTCTGTCCCTTAGATATAATACACCTCTCTCTCCATCTTTCTCTTTTTAAGCACTTCCTCAATATCTAGCACTAATAAGATGCCCCAGGCTCGTCTTGCATTTTCCATGCCCCAGTCCTGAAATCAGTCAATTTTCCAAGAAGTCCTGGTTTCCTTCATTAGAGAATGATGCTAGAAGTAAGATCTGGGTCCAGAGTGTGCTCATTGCTACTGAGTGTCACGTTTTCTAGGTCCTCTCGGAAGATGGAGTTAAGAAATAAATGTGTATATACTAAGTCATGTATACACACAAACCTACATTTATTTCTCTATCAAAGCTAAAAGATATATAAGTATATATATTCAATAGATATAGTGAAGATACATCCATTGAACATATGAAAGATAGGGAAAAATATAGGTCTGTGTGTATACATGTGTGTGTGCATGTGTGGATCTATCTGAAGATAGGTAGGTAGATAGATAGATAGATAGATAGATAGATAGATAGATAGATAGATGATAGATAGATAGATAATCTCTGACTCTAACCCAGCACCCTGGGGTTCATTCTCAATTTCTTCTTTTGCTTATTTGTAACTTCTTCCTGACAGTGTAAAATCTGGCTCCCATTATCCATAATTTACTTACTCACTTGTTTAATCCTAGTATACAAGTAAAATAGTTTTAGAATTGTTAACTCTTACCCCTCTGAGAAACTAATTTATTATAGTGTTGATATACAGATCTTTTTGTCCTTAGACTGAAATATCCAGTGAAAACACTGTTTTCCAAAATTATCTAGATCAGTAACACTTTTCCCACCCCTTCAATGAGATTATCTCCCACATTTGTAATACAGTTAGATTTGTCACAGTCTGCATTACACCCTGGGATCACCCAACATCCTGGTTGATTTTTTTAATTTGCATACAACAAAGTTCATGTGGTGCACAGTTCAATAGGTTTTGACAAATTCATAGAATCATGCATCGCATACTCCCGGACCATAGAGAATGGTTTCATTGAACTAAAATTTCCCTTGTTCATTCTCTTTGTAGTCAAACCCACCCTTAATCCTTGGCAAACACTGATCTGTTTTCAATCCCACAGTTTTGTCTTTTTCATCATGTCACATAAATGAAATCCTGTAATATAAAGTCTTTTGGGTTTTTCTTTTATTAGGCAAAATGCACTTGAAATTCATCCATGATGTGGGAATTGATAGCTTGTTCCTTTTATTGCTGAGTAGTACTCCACTGAATGGATATGCCAAATTTTTTATAGTTTCCCCTATTGAAGGACATCTGGTTGTCTTCAGTGTTTAGTGATTATGAATAGTTGTTATAAATGTAGGTTAACTTTTCATGAGAATACAAGTTTTCAATTCACTTGGATAAATACCAGAAGTGTGATTGTTGATGTGATTGGAAAGTCTATGTTTAACTTTATCAGAACTGCCAAACTGTTTTCCAAAGTGACTATACAATTTTGCCTTCCACCAAGGATAAATGAGACTCCTCACTGATCTACAGCTTCTTCATCATTTTGTATTGTCTGTTTGATTTTAGTTATTCTAAGAGGTGTGAGTGGTATTTCATTTTGGTTTCAGTTTACATTTCCCTAATGCCAAAAGATGTTGACCATCTTTCTTCATGCTTATTTGCCATCTTCCTGTCTTCTCTGATGAAATGTCTGTTCAGATCACTTGCCTATGTTTTGAGTTGTGTTGCTGATCTCACTAAAAATATTTTATTAATAATAACAAATTATAATGACATTTTGTGCTATTAATATAATTTTTAAATGTTAATTTCACCTCTATCTCATCTCTTTTCAAATTTTAGTTTCATGTATGTTTATAATTTATGTAACATTAGTAGAGAAGAATGTGAGTGTGATTCATAATTTGATATATACCTACTAGGGGTACGTGCTCATTATTGGTGGGATTTGTGATCAAGTTTGGAAACTGTTGCCTGAGAAAGAAGCTTGCACTTGGATGGGAGGCCCTGGTGGAGTTGAAAGTGAGGAGAGCTGTTGGGGAGGAGGAAAAAAAAGAGAGAGAGGTAAGGAAGGCCCAGAATGTGGTTATCACCCAACTCCCAAGAAATGGGATTCTAGAATCTCTGAGTAGTTGGGAACAAGAGTTAAGAATTCTTTTCTCTCTAAGGCTCTGAAGAAAGATTCCTGGTTGAAGACAGATCACTTGTGCCTTTTAAGAATCAGAGATGGCTTCATGGGGTGCAGGAAGCTCATGCGAGCTGCCAATCACTGATTGAGTAAGTAGAGCAGTATTCCTTTCACAGAATTACCTGAGCAGGCTCTCTGGGGCAGGCCCCAGGAATCTGCCTTTTTGATAAGACCTGAAGTATTCCAATGAAGCCACCTGTCCCAAAGAACCAGCAATGGCAACCTCTAGCTTGAAGGACACCAAACATTGTGTTTGGGGCTACCACTGCTGTGGGGTCTTGTTTTGTTTTGTTTGCTACCAGCGTGATTCTAAGGCAGGGGATGGAAACCAACCTAACTGGTAAGCTCTGCATAGTAAACCTCACGTGTCTCCCTCTCAGTGCCTGGCATACAACTCACTGCTTACATCACGGACCATTCCTGAAAAGGGCCAGATAATAAGTATTTTAGATTTGTGGTCTATATTTTCTCTAACACAACCACTCAACCCTGCGAAAAGCAGCCATACACTCTATATTACCAAATGGGCATAGCATTGTTCCAATAAAACTTTACTTACAAAAGCAGGCCTGGTTTGCTGACCCTTGTTATTCACCAGTATGTATTCTATATACCCTAGATGACATGTAGTTACCTTATTGCTTAGTTACTTTATTTTTTTTTAAGATTTTATTTATTTATTTATCAGAGAGAGAGAGCACAAGCAGGGGGAAGAGTAGAGGGAGAGGGAGAAGCAGGCTCCCCGCCAAGCAGGGATCCCGATGCGGGGCTCGATCCCAGGGTCCTGGGATCATGACCTGAGCCGAAGGCAGACGCTTAACCATCTGAGCCACCCAGGTACCCCTGCTTAGTTAAAGACTTCATAGTGATTCTTCTTCTGGCCCTTCTGAATACTCAGCCCTGATTTTAGCCTCACCTATCAATTGGAGAATGTAACTCTAAGAGAGGAAACTAATAACTTTAGAAATTTCTAGGTGGGGCAGAAAATGATGCTGGGTGAAAATATGTATGAATATCATGTTCAGTATCAGAAATTTCACTCCACCCCTATCCCAGCAAGGTTGCTGTATTTGGGGAAGACACTGCTTCAAGAGAGGAAGCACTTCTAGAAAACCAATAGCCAGCAAGGCATGGAAATCTCTGCCACTTAATTTGTAAGTGGACGGCAGTTCAGACAATTCAGTGGGGGTCTCTTTATGGCCTCTTTACTCCATCACCAACACTTCCCTCCGCTCATGACCCATGGTCATCAATCCCCCTTGCTCATCGGTCAATACCATGACTTTTAGGGGGGCCCACGAAGTAGCGATGAAAGAACTCAGAAAAACATTGCATTTGCAATATAACACTGATAGTTTTGAAACAATACTTCCACATTTGGAGCAGTATTAAGAGATTGGATGAAAGACAAGGTGCTAAATCTTCTTGCTTCAATCAAGCCTCAAATAACAAATCTTAAAGTTGTCCATGCAGACCCGTGTGTATTTCATCTCTGGTTGAAACTGGGGTGTGTGTTTCCACATACATAGAGAATGCTTCACTCTCCGTATTCTATTTTTTTCTATTCATAGAACAAAAATGAGAATCCTGGGTATGTATCACCCCCTGTGATTTCTAACTGGACATCAGTGAAGGAGGGTTCATTTCTGTGCTTGCCCAATCCCAGGAACATAATAGCATTTACTTGAAAGTGACCATGTAGGGGCGCCTGGGTGGCTCAGTCATTAAGCCTTCGGCTTAGGGTCCTGGGATCGAGCCCCGCATCGGGCTCCCTGCTTGGCGGGAAGCCTGCTTCTCCGGCTCCCACTCCCCCTGCTTGTGCTCTCTCTCTCGCTGTGTCTCTCTCTGTCAAATAAATAAATAAAATCTTTAAAAAAAAAAAAAAAAAGAAAGTGACCATGTAGAAAAGTATCTGCACTCATTCCTTCCTTGTACTGTATATTCCTGTACTTTGGTTTCCCCCATGCTGGTTCTGAATGATTAAAAGAAACAGGAAGTAGAGGGATGGGCAAAATGGGTGCAGGGGAGAGGGACACACAGGCTTCCAGGTATGGGATGAATAAATATTCACAGGAATAAAAGACACAGCAAAGGTAATATAATCGATACTGTAATAGTGGTATATGGTGACAGATGGGTAGCTGCACTTGCAGTGAACATGGCACAATGTATAAACTCATAACTTGTCAAATTACCATGTTGTGCACCTGAAACTAATGTAACACTATCAATTATAATGGATAAAACAGTTTTTTAAAATTTAAAAATTCAAATAAGTATAAATAAAATGAAAGTAACAGAAAACATCTAGGCAGAGCCACCCACAACCGTGGCAGAATTTAAGTTCTCAGTGGCAACAGACTGAATCTTAGGACTCAGGACAAAGCAAGATTGTTTGACCTGGTCTCCTGATCTTTCACAGGCTCCGCTTCCAACAGACCTGGGGATGAAGACTGCCGTCATCTTGGCCCTGATTGGCTGCCTGGTCACGGTCACTGAGCCCAAAGTCTACACTCGCTGTAAACTGGCAAAAATATTTTCGAGGGCTGGCCTTGACAATTACCAGGGCTTTAGCCTTGGAAACTGTGAGATTTCTTCCTTCCTGTTCTTTTTCTACCTTTGATCTCCCTGCTGAGATTCCAAAGTCTCCCCAACCCCCCAACTTTGGCTTGTCCCCAGCTCTTCCATTCGCTGCCCCCCTCCCCAGGGACACCTGCTAGCTATCCATAAGTTCTCCTCAAATGATGCTCTCTGGGGCACCTCTCCTCCTCCCTACCCGTCATGTCCTCACTCCTGGAGTCCTGCGTGAATGATACCAACAAGGGAAGGAGAAAACAATGCCCCCCCTTGCTGGCTTGGTAGGGACAGACCTGACTTCTGGCCTAGTTCAGGTGCAGCCGCGGACTAGGTGTGCAGCTTCGGAAGTGCCCCATGGGTGTGCTACTTGCCCTGTCCCTCCCCAAGGTCTGTTAGGACCACAGCGTTATTGTAACATGGTTAAGGGAGCTCTCGTCTAAGAGCAGAGTGGGAGAAAAAAATGCATTTCTTTTACTGTCAGTTCTGGCTTTCTCTCCCGCTAGGGATCTGCATGGCCTACTTTGAGAGCCACTACAATACAACAGCTCAGACTGAGCTAGAGGATGGGAGCATTGACTATGGCATTTTTCAGATAAACAGTTTCACGTGGTGCAGACGGGGTAAGCTACAAGAGAAGAACCACTGTCACGTTGCCTGCACAGGTACGGTTTTGATTTTCCAAAAATAACATTCTCAGGAGTAAAAGCAGATAATGGAATGTCTACCCATTTTCTGCTTTGACAAAAACTTGGAGTAGATGTGCAAGTAGGTCTATACCCTGCCAATAAATTATTCAACAGTTCCCCAGGGTGACACTCACAGTCCTGTGGCCTACTTGCCCAAAGATGACTTATTCCTTCTAGGATGGTTTTTGTGAAACAACCATAAAAACGGAGGGGTGGAAAAATGACCTTATTCTTTCATGCATAGAGACATTAAATATGTTCAATAAGAAGGAGAAAGCTACTTGCCAACTGCTTTCCATAAAGCAATTTACTCAAAGTATGCATTTATACTTCTTTGTAGAGAATGAGACAAATAAATACACTTTACATTTCTTAAACAGTAGAAATTAAGCTAGAATTCACTTCCAAGGCTTCTACTTCAATCATTTAAGAAATATATGTGTGCACAGAACTGAGGCTGGCAGAAAGCATCAGACATGAATTCAGGTATTTGGAAAAAGAATATATGCTTTAGGAAGTTAAAGGACTATAAACAGGTGTGGGTTGAGTGTTGTGGACTTCAGAGGACAAAGACATCATTGATAAAGTCATGGAAAGTCTTGTAGACACAATGATATTTGATCTAAGACTTGGAAGATAGGTAAGATTTGGACATTCAGAGATAGATAAGAGTCATTCCAGGTAAAGAGAACAACAAAAGCCAAAAGATGCATGGTGGGAAGAAGGTATGGGGCACACACAGGGAGCAGTGAGACATTTGTGTTATCTGGAACAAAGGGGATGTGAAGACAAGTAACAGGACATGGGGTTGGAGCGGTTGATTACTACCTGACTATGAAGGGCCTGGGAAGCCAGGTAAGACGTATGTACTGATTTCTGCCTGCGATAAGAAATCAGTAGAGGTCGTTGACTAAGCATTGCTCCAGAAGGATTAATCTGCAAGCAGAGTATGAGATATTGCCATTGCAAGTGGTGAGGTGAGAGATAGAAAGACCTGAATGATGGTCATGGCTGGGGACATGGAGAAGAACAGGCAAGAGATGCTCAACAGATCCTGCCCTCTCTCTACAACATAAGCTCCATGAAGGCAGGAATTTTATCTGTTTTGTTCACTGATATATTCTCAATGCCCAGAGGGGTGCCTAGCCAGAGTTTTGGAGTTCAAAAGATATTCATTAAATAAATGAATAAAAGGGGGGAGCCTGGGTAGCTCTGTCATTAAGTGTCTGCCTTCAGCTCAGGTCATGATCCCAGAGTCCTGGGATCAAGCCCCGCATCGGGCTCCCTGCTCGGCGGGAAGCCTGCTTCTCCCTCTCCCCCTGCTTGTGTTCCCTCTCTCACTGTGTCTCTCTCTGTCAAATAAATAAATAAAATCTTCAAAAAATAAAAAATAAATAGATAGATAGATAGATAGAAGGAATGAGGAGCAAGGGTGAAGACAAAGAGTTATAAGATATTCTGTGACAAACTCCTTACGAGCAGGAAATAAACTTTTAATTTCTCTTTGACACAAACAGGATAATCAGTACATATGTTTGAATGTATGAATGATTGAACAATGTGTTAATTTTCTAATAAGTTTTCCCTACACCTACTTTACAAGAGAATGCTCACTAACTCCTGAAGCAGATCATACAATTGTCGATCAATTCCTAATTTAGAACATTTTTCTGTTAGGCCAAAATCTACCTCTTTCTAGCTTTCTTCCATTAATTCTAGTTTTTCCTTCTGGATTTATTTAAAACAAATTTGCTCACTTTTATACATAGAAACTTATTAAAAGCTTGAACATGACTAGTAGATATTTCTTATCTTTACTTTTTTACCTTCTGGGCTAAAACTAGTTCAGTATTTTCACCTTCCTAGAGGTATGACTTTTAAACCTCTCCCCATCCATGGCCAATTTCATTAGCATTCCCCAAGAGCTTGCCAATGGAGTCTTCCAGTTAACCACCACAACTGGACATGTACATTTTTAGAAGTTGAAAAGCAGGAGGACAAGTACTGGCTAATTTAGTAATTAGAGAAATTTGAGTCCTAAACTGACAGTGGGAAAGCCAAGAAGCAACCATAGAATCCTAAAAGGGCTCAGAAATCAGCAGGATCAGCTAATTCTGGAAACTGGAATGAAAATAGGTAGAAAATAAGAGGATTGATGGGAAGTCCAATTAAGCAACATCTAGACCATCAGATTCCCTTCCTGACTCCATTCAGCTACTGACTTCTCATCCTCAATCCTGGCAGAATACTGGAGCTTTCCTTTCTGAACAGAGTAAGTAGAAAATCTCTCAACTGAGGGACCTCAACAACCTGTGAAAGTGAGAGTTCCATACTGAAGACATGGGAGATTAAAGTTTCCATAGTCCCAGGCACTTTCCTCCACTTAAATCCTAGAATGATGGAAATCAGGCTAGACTCTCCAGAAGGGAAGATTCTGTTCTGGAGAATTCACATAGATGAAAAGGACATAGCTAAAGATTCTGAGTAGGAGCTCTCCATGAACAAAACTAGCCAGACTTCCCCTATAGGGAGATACACAGTTGAAAATCCCCGTGTCTGTGTACGGAACTCCTAATCAGCTTTTTAGTCTCTCTTTCTTAAATAAGTGCAGATAAACAAGGATCATCAGACTTCATATAAGTGTCATTGACATGAAAGAATGGGACAAAACAAAACAAAAAACAAAATCAGATAAAAGTAACTTGTTGAAAGCAGAGATTATACAGGGAAATGAAAATTTCAAATGAAAAAGGGAAGTGTCATTGATATTTTCAGCTAGATAACATGTCTTATCAATGAAACAAGAAAAGGAAGCTTTATTAAAAAAGAAATATTTGGAGAAAAGCTCCGAGAAATTCAAAATATGATTACAGACACACAAAAAAACTCAATAGAAAAGTTGGAAGATAAGATTAAGGAAATCTCTCTAAAAGCAGAATGAAAAAGAAAGAGATAGGTGGAAAATAGGAGAAATAAAGATATGATAAATAAATGGATCTGAATAATACAAGTTTCAGCAGGATAGAAGAGAAACAGTAGATAGAATGAAATCTTTAAAAAACATTTCCAGCACTGAAGGGCATGCGTTTCCAATTTATAGGATCCATCATATAACCAGTACAGTCGATTAACATAGATTCACACTAAGGCACGTCCTCATGAAATTTCAGAAAACTGGAGAGAAATAAAATACAATATAGTCTTCAAAGAAAGAGTAAAACATGTTCCATACAAAAGCTCAAGCATCAGAGTAGCATCAGACTTCTCAATATCAATATTAGAAGCTAGAAGAAAATAGAGTAATGTCTTTAAAATCTTGAAGAAGAATTATTTCCAAACTAAAATTTTATGCTAGCTGAATTGTCAATATGTTGTGAGTGTAGAATGAATATATTTTTTTTTATTCTTATGTTAATCCCCATACATTACATCATTAGTTCTAGATGAAGTGTTCCATGGTTCATTGTTCGTGCACAACACCCAGTGCTCCATGCAGA